ATATATATATATATATATATATATATATATATATATATGGCCATAGATATAAAACACGGTCGAAAATTACGTTTTTTTTATTTTGTTAGTTTTTCCTTTCCCACGCTGTTGAAGACTTTCTAGATGTTGGTTCGAAATGAAAAGGCATAAAAAGTATGTGCATGCTTGTGCTTTACCGTCTCTTCTGAAAAAGTGATATTTAGGTAGCTGTATGCGCCTCCCGTGTGTGGACAGATGTCATTTTATCAAAGAAGGCTCTGCTCGAAGAGTCTTTTAAGAAACCTACAGTTTGGTTTGTTTTTAGTCCTTATAAAATCAATTGTTTTCATAGGTGCAAGAACCTTATGTTGGCTAAAATATGATGCAATGTTTGCCAAGGAAAAAAGTAGTTTGGGATGTTTGTGAAAACCTCCTAACAGCTTTTGTTAATTTTAAACCTAGATGAGTCAATCTTTCTTCTGTGTTAGTAGGCTATTTTGGATCTCTAGGTCTGTCTAACACACAATAGTATGAAATACTACATAAAATTATGACAACGTGCATTATTTTTCCACCTACCTAGATAAAAACTTGTTATTTCAGCGAACTGAATGCCGCCCGTGCTCTTTTAGCGAATGTCGCCGGTCAGCATTGGCATCAGTTTGTCGATAGTCAACTATCAGGAAATTATCACAATCACATGACTTCGAAAGATATTCACACACAGATTAGCTCGGTGGGCTTTCTTAGTGTTGTAATCCTTCACTTTACTTACTTGAACACCTGGGTAGCCGAATTTCACAAACGATCGTGTCAGCATTAACACGTGTCTATCTGTAATTAATCCCACGGCCCACTTTCTATTAACCTCGGCATTGATCAAGTAATTTTTCGTATTCTTGTTGAGCAAACGCGAGGTGTTATTCTTTATTCACGAATAAGCTGACGTTTCGGCGGATTTCGCCTTCCACAGTGCCTGGATAGGTCAAGTTGACAGAACAGCAATCTATTCGGCTAGACACCGCCATAACCAAACAGAGAAAACACTAAACCAAGATTTCAATCGCATTAAACACAGCTTTGTACACTCATCGCTTTCTATGAGTCTTCCACTAAGTATGTTGCGTGGAGATCACCCACGCAATATTCACATGGAAGCGTAATGTGCCCCTCCCATCAGAATAACAGGCTTATATACTGCTCAGTATCACACGTGATAATGAGGCATTACTTTTTGAGGTTCATTTTCGGATTTCTGGAATTAATCCAGAACACCTCGAGAACTTTGCGTGCTTATGTTCTCGATTCCTGTGCGGGGATCGTGGCACGTACTTTAAAGTCGTCCTCGTTATGTCTCTGAGTATAATATAACTGGCTGCATCATATGGGAAGAATGCCTCATTATCACGCGTAATATTTGGCAGTATATAAGCCTGTTATCTTGGTGGGAGGGGCCTATTACGCTTCCATGTGAATTCTATGCGGTTGGTCTCTACGCGACACACTTAGTGGAAGACTGATAGAAAGCGGTGAGTGTTCAAAGAAGCTATTCTGTGTTCACTGTGATTGAAATCTTGGTTTAGCGTTTTCTCTGTTTGGTTATGGAGGTCTTTTTCCGAATAGATTGCTGTTAACTTGACCTTTCCAGACTCTGAGGAAGACGAAATGCGCCGAAACGTTGGCTTATTCGTGAATAAAGAATAAAAGTAACACCTCGCGTTAGCTCAACAAGAATGCGAAGAATTACACGTCCATTTGATTGGTAATTTGCTGGTTCATCAAGGATTTTCTTTTTTGGATGCTTGAAATAATTGCGCTGGAACCTCCGCACTTTGTGTCCACAGGCAGGTCCTTGTGAAGATTTGCCCCAAAGGAATGGCGCTGATTCGGTGTTTTTGAACTAAGTTTCCTAATTGAAATATTTAAATTAATAAAAGTGTTGAAATACCATTCATACTAGAAGGACCATCCTGAAGGATCGACTAACCGCCCAATTTGCATATCACCGTTCGACATCCAGTACTTTGTTCATCCATTACAAGATTGTCACGGTTGGGGTCCAACCCGAGCAACCACGAGTTGCTATCGTTGCTTTTTTGTGCTTACTTTTATTCAGTTTATTTACAATGCTCACCAGTTTAACCACCTAACTGTTTACCGCCTCATCGTGGGCGAGAAGTGTTTCTGGGTGTTGAGCTGTGATCTATAGCGGGGGAAGCTCATTTCCCAGCAAAGCCTCCCCAGCTGAGAAGTGGTCCGATGTTTCTATCCAGAAACCCGGCGAAGAGTAAGTCAGTACAAACAATCACCACCGTCGTGGTATCAGATTAGTCGCATGGTGGCAAATCTCCCTCTGATCCAAGGGGCGGCAACAGCGCGGCGTGGTGACAACCTGAGGAAGGATTAAGCCAGGCAGGTCTTGGCACTCCAGGGAACCGTGATGACTAAGCCAGCAAGCTGCGGTGAATGGAAATCATGCTGAGACCCCCACAACCAGGGATAACGGGCCGTCCAAGTACTCAACTAAGTATCTGTGGTGCTGACATTCTCGAAATCTTCGTGTTGTATACCTGGATTACTATATGCGATGATGGCGCAGTTTTCCTTATGGGAATCAGTTTAAAGCAAGAAGATCACTTTCTTACCTCTTTAGTTCGTTTTTTCGTTCTTGTAATCCTTTTTCGGAAAGCATTTTAGCATTTTACTTTTTCCTATGATTTTTATACTCATATATTTAAAATAAGGGTCTTTATCTTTCAGAAAATCACAAGGGTGGCATCGGGTTTGCACAAATTGGCTAGTAAGAGGACATTAAGTTCACACAATAGCATAAATTCGGTGCTTCCGTGGAAGAGCGTAAGCGTCGATAAAGAGGTAAGATCGTTTTGTTTTTCTGTTATTCTTCTGCAGTTTTATAAATGTGAGGTATAGGTTATTCATATGTGGTTACGGGTGCACGTGAGTCTTGTGAAAGAGCTACTGGTGGCGCAATCAACAAGATATCATGAGTGGCATACTCATGCGAAGAAGTGGTCTCTACACGATTGGCATCAGCTAGAAGCAGAACTCACACGCGAGCGTGGTATTTGGGGACCAGAAAAAGTATGCAATCTATTCATCGCTTTCTCTAAGGAGTTTTTACATGTCGAAATAGTGAAAACTTTGTATTTTACGGAGAAACACTCGAAGATAAAAGTTTGTTTCGTTTGTCTCATCGACTTGTGTTCTCTTCTTCCAGGCTTCTGCGCTTGACAAATATAAACTAGACACCACGGAAGGCCCTTCTCGATCTCGTCGTAAAATGATTCCAAATCGTTTCTTCTACCACGTCTTTCCTTATAGACCTCATTTGGACGATCCAAGTGCGGTACGTCGACATAGTTCTGCTTTTGGGTCCGTGCATTATCCTAGTGAGCGTAAATTTCTCACGTTTTCTTCAGAAATCCATGCGTGCCAAGGTTGCAATATCCCGAGATAGTGAGTTATACTACAATGCCTGTCGTCGACGACGTGGTCGTATTATGAATACAAGAATAATCGATTACTCAGTAACTATCTCAACGCCGTCGGAAGAGAAACCTGCGTTCACATTTTGTGACTTAGCTCGTAAGTATTGGGTTGCAATAATATAACTAGATGTCAACAGAACCAGCTGAGAGACAAGCGAAACAAAGGACTCGCATGGTGTGATGGCGAACGCGTTAGCCTCCAGAAAGGGTAATAGCGCGTTTGTTCTCCACCGCATACACCTGCGGTCTGGAGTTTTGCAGACATCTCGGCACCATTGTGGTTGCTTCACACATAATACCCTGTCATGAACAGTAACAATAGTTTTTCGAAGCTTCTCACTTGAGAATTCTTTGTCGAAGCGAAAGGTAAAATTTTCCTTGTTTTGTGAATAACAGATAGTGCCTTTTGTTATCGTATGAAACGATTGTTTTAAATCTGCGTTTGGAGTTTCTCTTTAAGTTTTATGTAATCTATTTTTATATTCCATTTATGGTGAAAAACTGCGTCAATCTGTTTATTATTTTATTTCATTCCATACGTAATACGTGCACTTACACATTTGCTCCAGAATTGAACTCATCTCTGATTCGGCGGCTGTCGCTTCGTCCCCATGTCGATACTAATGTAGCGCAAAAAGATGATAATGGTAAAGACAGTGAGAATGGGGAGGAGAATGAAGATAAGGTGGGTGTTGCCTATTCTTCTTGGTCTCTTATACGCGTAAATGCGGTAATATGGTTTGTAGAAAGCTGGTTTTGCTCATGTATTTCCGTTGTCTAGATTTTTAATCATTACTTTTCGAAGGAACCGTCAGTTGACATGGAGGATGACCAGCAGGACGAGTCTTTAGCAAGTGACAAACTGATGTCAGAAAGTCGCGAAGAAGTGAAAGAAGATGATAAGAAAGAAAATGAGAGAGAAGACAATAGTAACAGAAAGAAGCGTGGACCTGATAATCAAACTCTTTTGCGGTTATTGGAGCAGGGAGAACAGCTCCATAGCATGTTCCGTTGTGCTAGAATACAGGTTTCTCTTAAAGGTTTTTTTGAAGGTCAAGTTTTTTCCACTGTTGAAAATTTCAGGGGTTAGAAACTTCTGAAGGATTGTTACTGTTTGGAAGAGAACACTATTATGTTGTGGACGGTTTCACGCTTCTGAAAACTAGAGAGATTCGGGATTTGGACTTTTTAAGTCAGGAGTGAGTTGTTTTCTTCTGCAAAATTTTTCACTTCATAAAGGCTGGATAGGGATTTTTCATCTTCGACTTAATGGACCATTTCACTTTTGATTGTTAGGTTAAGCTAAAAAGTGTAACAGATTGCGCGACCCCATCGTTCCGTACACTGGTACACATCCGCCGCGGTCGTCACGACTTTGCAGCAAATTCAGCTATGAAGATATCAGAGAGGTTCATAAACGCAGGTGATATACTTAAGCTCTAGCTTTTTTCGTTTCAGTTTCACTATACTATTAGAATGTTTAAAAGAAAATATATATCAGCTTTATCTGTTGACATCTTTGTGCTGTATTTAAAAAAATGTTCCTCATTGACATATTACACTTGACATCCACTAAGTGCAGTGCATGTTTTACGGAAATAATGGCTTCTTTAATTGTGAACCAACATATCTCAGTTCATATTAAACTCAATTCATTGCAATACAACTTACTTGCTTGGGTACATGGGTGCGCCTCAGCGTAAAAAATACCAGTTCTTTGGAGTTTTGCTGACGTACCCATTGTGGTTCCGCGGAATCCCGAGGCCAGCTAGGCCAAAGTCTGCCCCGGGTCGGCATTACCACACGCAGCCGCCGCCCTTGCGGATTAAAGGGAAATTTGCCACCATGTGACTAGTTTGATACCAGGACGGTAGTGGATGCTGGTATTGCTATAGAAGTTATTAGAATGTAGATATTTGCTTAAATTCTCTAGTTCTGTCAAGATATTGGATTTCTAGTGTTCACAAAAAGCTCTTACTTCGGTTATAAAGTAGTAAAAAAAACTAGTTTTTATCTAACAGGACACGGTGTTATTCAATGTGTTGGTATTGTTTGTGGTTGCCGCACTTACATTGGGAATTTTTAATTGAAAACTATATGAATGCTATAGAAACACTATGAACACATTATAGAAGCTATTAAATATATTCCATGAGTTTTCTAGATTTTTATTTCTGAGCATTTTTGAAAGCGAGTCAATGTTTTATTAAAATTCTACGTATGCGCACATAACGACTGAGACAATAGAGCAAAGTTTCTTGTATAAGTGTCAAATGTACATAGTGTCTCTTGTATATGTATAAGTCTACGAAGTCCTTAAATCCTCAAATACTTCAATGGTCGAGAAATTGTTTTCTGTTCTTGACAAACAAGCTTCCGGCATTATGTCTCAATCTTCATATCGCATGTCACTTTGAAGCGCAAATTTTCCTCTACGGCTTCGTATTGGTACGGTTCGTTAAAATGTGAATTCAAAAAAGCAATTAGCTTAACTCAGTTGTTTAAATAAATTTACAACTTTCTGAAGCCGAGGAAACTGTTCGCCACATAGAAGGTGCATTTAACCAAGTGATTGTTAATTTTCATGGAAAACGTTCTAACGTTTCTTTCGAAATATTCATGATGAACATTGAGCGCCTTCGAGACAAGAATGCTAGTAGGCAACCCACTAACATAAGCGGCAACCATTTGAAGACGTTAATTGATGCTGATCCATATTTTTGTCACGTGAAGTTTAGGTTTTGAGCTAAGAACTTTAAGTTACAAAATTTAGAAAATTCGTCGTTTCCGAGCTTTCTTCCCAGCATAAACAAGTCGTTTCTTGATCGTCTTATGACTTGCGGTGAAAATTATGCCTTTCGGACGGCCAAGCATGTTCCATCTAGTGGTTGAGTAGGATTGAGGGCTACACTTTTTTTGGTGGACATTGGAGGGAATTGTCTATAATGACTTTTTGGATTTTTACAACATCATTAGAACAAAAAATTCACAGAAGGTCAACAACAAAAACTCCGATTTTGGAAACCAATTCTGATTAATTGAAGGCCTAACATGTCACAGCATTGCCGCAGTGATTACATTTCACATAATGAGAATTGTAAAAATTCATGATCTGGTGAAAAAGAAAAGGACGGAAACAAAACCCTATCTCACCCAGTGTACTCGCTTATTACCTCACTAGCCAGTTACCAGTTTCTCACCCGTAACGAGAGTTACCCAATTGGAAATTCTTCAAAAGGGATTCTATTAAAATTGCGTCGAAATGATTCATAGCCTTCATGAGCCCTGTTTAAAAAAAAATGGACAAATTTTGACATGGGTATGTGGTTGATTGGGTATGGTTGGCAAAGATGTTTAAACCATAGTGGTTTTAATTTTGGTTAATAAGAGTGCCAGGAGTTAAGTTTAATGTTGCATTGTTCTATCTTGTTGTTGAATATATATTTAATGTTGACTGATTCAATATTGTTTTTAAGCAATTTTTGTTTATTTCATGTTTCTGATAAGTTTGTGTAACATTTAAGATATCTTCTCCAACCAATTGCACTAGAAGTATTCAGCGCTGATGGACGAAACTACCTTCTAGCATTTCCAAAAAAGATGCGTGATCGAGTATACGAGAAGTATGTCGGTAGTTCTTTTTTGTTGAGTTTATATTTTAAATGACTACATTTAGGCTTTTATCTATGGCAAAAGGATTGACCTCTGGAGGAACTGATTCTGTAGGAGGACAGAAAGCAAACATGGCCATAGAGCAAAGTGGAAGAGCATCGCTTTTGAATTCTATTATAGGTAATTTCCTAGCCAACGTGTTTTTTTTCTTCATTATGAATTACGTTTTGATGCTATTTGTTAAAGAATCCGGCTAAATTGAAGGATCTTTTCTGTACATGTTAAATGCTAAGAGTTAAAAGTCTAGAATTCTGTACTTAACCATCGACAGAAATTTATTTAATCTTGAGTAAACCTCTTAGTCAATCATCATTTTTGAATAGTCGTGTCGCATCTCGCGAGACACATATGGCAAACTTGTGACCTTGTTGGCAGTATGTCTAGAATAACGCACACCAGGCCGGTGAAGGATATGGCACTTGGTCACAGAAGTCTCAAAAGAATTGTCCAATGAAGCCTAATAGGCCGCATGCTTCAACTATAGAACACCTTAGAGATGGACTTGTTATGTCTTAAGTCAACAATTATGTGTTTGTCTCTCAAGTTGACACGACTCTCTCATCAAAAAGTTATGTTGCTGACGTAATCATGTAGTAAACTGGTCGTTTCATCTGACAAGCAGTTATTTTTTATTATTACGTGGTCCGACATCGAATGTACCATACCTTGTGTTTCCTGCACTTATTGAATTCCATTCCTTTCCACTCATGTGTAATCCAGGAAGACCTCGAAACTGTTTTCCATATGGCTTCGGCTGCTGTTTAAGGACTTTTTTGTTTTCTGAACGAATGTTGTCGAATGGTGGTCGTGACGATCCTCGATGAGGTCCTGGAATGGCAATGTTAGGGCGTTGCCAAGGACTAGAAGGAGTGAGCTTGTACCAAACAAGTCTGCTAAGTATTTTCGCATCGCAGAGAGATGAGAGGCTTGCTTGGTCCGAAGTGGGTCGAACTAGCACACGGTTAGGAGAGACATTAATGAAAGAAATGACTAGAAATGGAGCAAACACTCACACGACTCATTCATTGTGTCCATGTAAAAATCCAGGTGAATAAGTGACCTTCAAGTAGATTGAGTTTTATGTTGTAAGCCTCCAGTTTCGGATACAGCTTCCCGTTTTTATCGTTCCTTATAGGACAGCAATCTGTGACTCAAAGGTGGCTGAACGGGCAGATCTCAAACTTTCAATATTTGATCCACCTTAACACTTTAGCAGGACGGTGAGTTTTAATTCATTGATAAAGTCAGTATTGGACGAGACAGTATTGCAATCAAATTATCTCCTCTTCCCTTATTGACTGGCTAATTATTTACGTTTGTCATCTATTTCACTGACATCAATTGTCTATTCCAGATCCTACAACGATTTGTCGCAATATCCCGTATTGCCGTGGGTGTTAGCCGACTACACATCGACTACATTAGATTTCACTAATCCAAAAACATTTCGTGATTTGTCGAAGCCAATGGGTGCGCAGCATCCTCAGCGTCTAGAACAATTTTTGAAGAGGTAGTATTGGTAACTGAGTTTATCTTAGATACTAAAACAGTTAAATTTTTCGTTAATGTATTTATAAACTAAGAGATTTTGGCGACAAAGAAGACACAAGAACTAATGCGTGACACCTAAAGAAGAACAGGATTTTTCGAGTAACACTGCTTTTCTAAATTCTAATCGGTAGAAAATTGCTTTTCTCACTCGACTCATCGCACATTTATGGCTGGAAAGCTAACGATTCATTGTGTAAGGTATCACAGCAGCGCAACTGTGGAAGCAGTTGGAAGGCAAGTGGGTGACGTGTGACTCATACCTGGCAAGGTGTCCTTCCACCTTGTGATCTTATATGGTTCATATCTTCGAAAATATACCAAGATGCCAAGCTTGTTTGCAAGTATTTCTCTATTTGTTTTCTATTCTTTTGTACTTTTTGTGATAGAATATCGGAAACAGATTCAGTTAAGTCCCATATTTCAACCAAGCGCTAGTGGAGTTCTGCTCTACTATTTCTACTTGAGCTTTTTCTATTGGTATCAAGGTGCTTTTGAGCTTTAGATGCCTAACAGTTGCTTAAGATTATTCTAAATATCTGCCCAATTCCAGCCCGGCTAACGCTGTGGTCGGAGGTGCGCTGCAGTACACGTGGGATCTATCCCGTCGCTCCAGGTCGACCATGCCCTTCATCCTTCCGGGGTCGCCAGTTGCTACGAGATTTGTCTGGGAGGGTAGTATCACTGCCTTGATACAATGGTAGACCACCGCGGGTCAGTGTAAAGGCCAAATACGCATTAAATCTCCTTCAACGATGCTTAGTGAAGTCGAATGTATGGCTCATCCCTCAGAGATAGGTTGACCGCGAAAGCTTAATCCTTCATCTTTCTATCTGTCCAATTGTCCTAAGATTTTGTCTTTTAGTCTCAAGCAATGATGTGACCACTTGTTTGATTGCAAGGTACCGTCGTCAACATTACTGGAATGTAGTATTGTACAATATGCATATTAATTGCCTAGTTTCTGCGTTCCAGCTTCCAATGGAAAAGTCTATTCAAGTATTTAATGTAGCCCAAAGTTAACTTTTTAAACATTGGTCGGGTTCTTTCACCGTTTACTTGCTTATTAATCGTTTATTCAATTTCCAGAAATTCTAAAAGTGGCATGATTTCAGATACAGGGAATGGGATGATCCCACGGGAGAAACACCTCCGTATATGTATGGAACGCACTATTCATCAGCAATGATTGTGGTATCATATTTGGTACGACTCGAACCATTCACGCAGCAGTTTCTGAGTCTTCAAGTTAGTGGAACTTGGAAGTTTGGAAATGCATTAAGGCATCTATTGGAGCTTTCAATGAGTTTCCCCGTGTGGGCCTTTTCCTGATTAGCATTGCATAATGGCATAGTCCCTGAGGGATCACATGCCGCGAGAGTAATAGCGACTTTCAAAAGTGTGGATCGACTCGATTCTCTTTAAAATCTCGGGATTGAGTTGGTTAGGTGTTCCCAAATCACTGACGTGCGCCATCTTTTGTGGATTGGAGAGAGCGAACTGAATCCAGAGGAGTATGGTGCAAGTTTTCCGACCCCGGAAAGATGGGAGACTTGATCAGTTCGTGCTCGAACCAAACTTTACAAGTAGCGAACGGTGTCACCATGCGACCGGTTCCTTATCTAAGCGCAGTGAATTTTATTAGTAGCAATGAACACTGATAGAATGTATAAATCTTTGCCTACAGGATAAAGGTGCGCCGACTTGACCTCAATGGAATTCTGATTTTCTGAAATTTGTAACATCCTTTCACTTTTTTGCGTAAATGCTTTTATTTCGAACTCGAAAAAAAATGAACAAGAGGGTCCCATTCAGCATTGCACGAAAGTCTTCTCCAATGTATGATTTGTATTTAAAGCTCCCGCTCTTTAAACGTTAGAGTTTGTCAACAATTTTTTTGAAGGTCCTAAGACATCGAAATTTTAAGGGATATGCATATAGTGCTAATCAACCACTCGTTGATGCGATTTCTATCCAGGGCGGCCATTTCGACCTCGCCGACCGAATGTTTCACAGTGTAGGAGATGCATGGATAAGTGCTAGCCGCAATAACATGGCGGACGTCAAAGAATTAATACCTGAATTCTTTGTTCTTCCAGAATTATTACTGGTAAGTCTCCTACATTGCTTATGATGTTGATAACAATATTAATAAAGACGGTAATTTTTTGTATTTTCCATTTGCTGATTCTATTAGTAAAGTAGTAGTAAAGTAACGGCAGTGTTCTTGTTATTCACCTTAGGGAAATCTCAAAAATCTGTCATAGCACCTGATCAGATCACGATTTTGAATTGTAGTTGTAAATTAACTTGAAACAAGCAAATCTGTTCTTTGATATTTTTGGCAGACAATTGAAGTGGGAAAAACTGGTATAATTTATAGCAAAAAAATTGGTCGCCATTTGAAATCGTTGGTAATCGTCAATACCTTCATGGATGGTTAAGCTAACATAGTGCTAAGCAATTTATAGCGATCGAAGCATTCCATTGCTTGACTTTTACACCGTTTTCCGACCTTATGTTTACAAAATATCGCTTAAAATTTTTGTCATGTTGTGTTGTCAATATTCTTGAATTCATCGCCAGAATATGAAATACGCCTTTTTCCTCTGATGTTTTTATTTCAGAACAAAAATCGTTTCGATTTCGGTGTTAAACAAAATGGCGTTGCACTAGATGATGTGGTCCTTCCTCCATGGGCTCACGGGGATGCCAGAGAATTCGTGAGGTGAATTCGATTTTATTTTGTGCTGCTGCAACAAGAGATGGAATATTGCAGAGTAGTTGCTTTGTAAAGTCCAACATAATGTTAGTTATAAGCTTTTAAGGCTTCATCGACAAGCTCTAGAATGCGATTACGTATCGTCACATTTGCATGAATGGATAGATTTAGTTTTTGGATATAAACAAAGTGGAGAAGAGGCTGTGAAGGTATTTGATCTCACCGATATCAGTTTTCTCGTATTAATTTTCAGCGTTTCAGGCCAATAATCTTTTCCATCATTTATTTTATGAAGGAAACGTCGATTTTGAATCAATCATGGATCCGTTGACGAGAAATGCTACCATAGGTTAGATCCAGAATTTGTCTGTTACTTTTGTTACTGGCCTTTCATTGTATCTTCACCTTGGGTACCGTTTTCTTTGAAATAAAGTTTTGCACTTTTTTTGGTCATTTAGGTTTTGTAAACAATTTTGGACAAATTCCAACCCAATTGTTCAAGAAACCGCATCCTCAAAAGAAAGTAAGTGCATTTTTTTTGGAGATCTATATTATGTATAAAATGGTTTCATTGCGACACTTGTTTGAACCGTACATATCACTTTATCGTTCACTGCAGAGTTAAGTTTCTTATTTATTTTTTAAGATCAGTCCTGTGGATGGGTTTTCGAACACTCCTGGAGTTACCACTCAGCGTCTGTTCTACCATTGTTTGTATTCACTGAAACCACCTCAAAGTCCTATAAAGGGTTCGTGGTTGCCTTACCAGATTTTCCAACGTTTTCTCATATTTTTTTTTACTATGCTACATTACATTTTAGAACTTCGTTCTGCAGTTGGTTCTATATATCAAAGTGAACGTACAGGAGTGATTGCTTTGGAACAGAATAAAGTGTTAATCGGTTCGAATCGATATATTGCATGGGGCTTTCCAGACCGTTCAATTCGCATGGGGCAAATCGACTCCGATAAGGTGGTTCTACCTTTTTTGTAAAAGCTTTGTTTTGTTCAGTTGAACCCGAATTTCATTGCGTTTCCTTTCCTTGAGTGTAGCATTTTGTACATAGAGTATAAACATCATTGCATACCATTGTAACTCTTGTTTTTCCTAGTTTCTTTCTTTTGAGCGTTTTTTCCTTTTTTTTAAACA